CTCCTCCCCCTCCCCTCGCTCGTCCAGCTCCAATATAAGGGCGGGAATGCAGCGGACAGCACACTCCCAGATTAGACAAGTAGCCAGTCTGCACCGTCAGCCAGGGCAGCAGCAGCAGCAGGAGCCTGCGACTGGCACCATGACCTACATACAAACATCGTTCTCCGAAGGGTGAAAATGATAGGACTCCCTTTACATGTCTGACGCACAACTTTTTATACAGTGCATAAACAGACGTGTGGATGTTTTTTTTTTCTAACACCTCTATATTTGGAATATATTTATAAAATGAACACTCGGAAAGAAAGGTCAGACTCTAAAGGTCACCACTGTAGGAAGTTTATCAATTAGTTAACAAAAACAATATTGAACAAATAGGGCGAGATAACTAACAATAATTTCTCCGACGAGGTGAACATGTGTGGAGATCCAACTGATGCAGGAGTTTCGATTGGAATTTAGGGAAATTTTCCCAAAGCCTCACTCTGCCCACTTGACAAAGCATGGCTTTTGAGGCAGGCAGCGTGTCTGTAAGTGTGACTGGTCTGCCTGCGGTCCAGATCTAGGTTCTTTAGAAGGTGCGAACAGAGAGTTTTTTTTTGTTCTTTGAAATAAAAAAAAAATTATATAAAAATAGATGAACTTTTAGTCCTATTTTCTGTTGTTTTTTCAGGCCAGATTTGGTGAATTGCGATTCGTTCGTTTTGTCCTGACAAAGCTTCCTGACACCACTTTATGAAGCGAGCACCAACTGATGCAGTATTAGACAGCCATCTGAAGTCAGGGCTAAGGATGAAACAGCGAGGGTGTAATGATTCTTTTTGATGTTGGATCTCAGTGAGGGTGAAAGGGCTTTGACAAGTGTGTGTGGGCCACAGATCCAAAAATCAAGGCGGGACGTTGTAACCACGGAATCCTCTGATCTACTGAGGTGCCGTCCAATCTAGAAATAGACACCTGATGACTTCAATGCTTCTTTAATTTGCTCTAATTTAATTTAATTTTGCTCTAAATGTAGATGCAGTATTGCAGTTACACACACACACACACAGACTCTGCAGTGCTGCATGTTGCAGAGGTAGAGCAACGGCAGCTCTGGGAGTGGAACAGAATCCAGGCCATGTGAGTTCATCCACGCACATCTCTGTGTGCTACGTCCCACATTTTCTTTTCTTCTTCTTCTTCTCTCTCTCTCTTTTATTTATTTATTTTTTCATTGTCTTTTGTTTCCTTTTCCCCCCCACAAAGTGCTACTCTCACTTTGCTCATATTTCCCATCATTCAAGGATGTATGCCTCCCATCAATTTGCTGGTCTCTTGGGTGACAAGTTTATTAAACACAAGAGAGAGTGCTGTCTTCTTCTTCTCTCTCTCTCTTAGGAGGAGAGGGAGGAGGACGAGGAGGAGGACGAGGAGAGGGAGGAGGCAGCAGTGAAACAGGAGTGTGAACGGGGGTCTTCTTACAAGCTCTGGCAGTTTTTAAGCAGTTGTGTTTTCTCGATGTGATTGGGTGCAGTGATGCTGATGTATTTATTAAGTGAAAGAATATAGATGGCCATCCCCTCCCCCGCACCGATGTGGAGATAATTACTTATTTTTGAGCGATATCAACCACATCAGACAGCAGTAATTGTCATGTATTTTAACGTTGACAAGATATTTTTTTCACCAACTCAATTACATTTCCACAAACGCTAGACTCTGCCCAGCAAACTACGGCCCGGGGGACCAGATGTGGCCCGTTCAGCTTTTTATTCCGGCCCTAAATGATCATTTTCCCCGCAGTACCCACGTTTCCCCAATAGATGGATAGGACCAGATGTATAGAAGCATTTTAGCCTTTTGCATGACTTTTACATGTCGTTCTTGTTAATTCACACAAACGCTCCATCTTTCTGCTCCTGACCCGGCCCACCTGTTCAATTTCAGGACAACTGTGGCCCGCGAGTCCAAAAGTTTGTCAACGTCTGTTCTATGCCGTAGCTAAACGGTAGCTACGGCATAGAACACGCAAGGAAAAACTTTACTGCCTTTACTCCCTTCTTGTCTTTAGTCTTTGAGTTTTAGGTCGTGACTCTGACACAGGTTTGGCCCATATCTAGCCAAGCTAAGCTAAGCTAATACGTCTTACCCAAACAACATCCACAGTCGATAGTGAGCGAGTTTTTTTTTTTTGTAATGTGATGCGCAACAGCTTGCTTGGACTCAGGACTCAGACTTTGTGCTCATAAGGTTTATTTTTTTAAATAAATGACCAAACATTAGAATTTATGTATAATTTTTTCATTTTCTTTTTTAAACGGCTATCAGATTCTTTGAAACATACTGGGATGGTTTTATTTTAGGGTCTGGTCATTTTCTAAATGTCCTGCAGTTTGCGGAGGAAATTGTGCATTTTATGAGGACTATTTTCCAAATGTGGATTAATGAACACTAACTGATCGGCACATTTTACACAAATTTCACCCATTGTTACATTTCCGAGTCGTAGAACCTCCATACAGCGAGGCTGCTTGCCTCGTGCGCAATTATGTCGTCATGCCCGCACACCGTCGTCCATGAAGTGAGGGCGACACGTACAGAGAACAGCTGACTGCCTCTGGCATCCATTCCTCCTCCTCCTCCTCCTTTACCTCCTTTTTCTGCCGCAGGCCATAAACCCAAAACAATGAGCTGAGAGACAGGAAAACACTCTGAAGAGCAGAGGCTTCTCCGCAGGTCAATCACTGCACACAATTACCTTCCAACTCATGCAGTTATTAATTAGTCTCATTTAATATTTAATATAGCCGTTTTGACCCTCGGTTTCTGGGTGTGGGTTCCAGTCGGTTGTGGGGAAGGGAACGGTATATGTATATGTGGAGGGAGAAGATATCAATGGCTGGAAATCTGGAGGGGGCAGGAGTCTTTATTTCCTAATGATTAAATGATTAGCCGGCCTAATTGAACCAGGAAACGAGTGAGTTGCAACAAGGACGAGGCGAGCTGTGCAGCTAAGCAGGAAGACTGCTGAGTGCATCATCTGTGTCTCTCTGTGTGTGTGTGTGTGTGTGTGTGTGTGTGAGTGCCATCATGCTCAGCAGCGCTAAACACAAACTGAAGCAGAAACATAAGGCGGAAGCAGAGAGGCTTCTGGGTCCTGAGAGGTAATATCTCACCGACGGCCTTCGTTAACAGTATCGACAGTTAGTTGACAAATTCACTGTTTTCCTAAGTTTGTCAGTGACCATCCCTTATGTGAGCTCCTCTCTCTTATCTCCTTGGGTCCTGCTGCCCCCCCCCCTCCTTTTTTTTTTCTTCCACTCCCTTTATCCCTTTTTCATCGCCCACGAGACTTATTCTTCTTCCATAGTCTTTATCTTTGGCCATCTTCAGACTGCAGGTGCTTCAGATTAAAAAAAAAAAAAAAAGCTGGAAAGGCCGCTGTGTAAAATATGCATGAATAATTATTGGTGGAACTAAAGGAAAATCATTAACTGGTCTGTTAATGACTTTGCGGTCGTGTGAATCTATTTATTGTCGTAAAGGTTTAATTAAAATTATGATTGTATTTATAGCATTTGGAGCAGTATGTTCACGTTAGTTCGCAGAATTTTTTTAAGAATTTAAATTTTTCTATATTTATTTTCTATATTTTATATAAATACCCACTGTGACTTAATGCTCCACATACCTGCATTTATAATTAGCTTGGAAGCTCCTTCAATAGTAAATAACAGTTCAATTGACAAGAAAAGCATTGAAATTATATTTACATACATAAGTGTTTATATTTCTTTATATCACAGTCACAACAAATGGTCAGTTGTCCTACCACTGACTCAGATTCTTCCTCCACTAGTAAAGACGAGTCTGAACTGTCCCAGGACAGTGAGACATTTGTCTCGCACTGAGACGTCATTTTTCCTGAGCTATCCGAATACCCAATCCTCTGTTGTGAGTAAAATCTTGCAGAGAAAAAATAAAAAAAGAAAAGAATCTATTTTTATTGTAGTTGTCTGAACGAGGCCTTTGTTCTCCTCTGCCCCCACATCTTGTTCCTGTTTTGTATAAATTTGCTTCTCATTCTCACACACGCTCTCTCAAGGGCGACGTCTCATCCAATAATCAATAACTGTTTGCTTACAATGTGTCTGCCCGTTTGTGCTCGTGTGTTTTCCGTGTGCCCGCGGACCAGCGAGTGTGTATTCCAAAAGGTCTTTTTGCCTAAACGTCTTTTATTTCTCCTCCTCCAGATCGTCGCCCTGACCTGTCACCTCGTCCTTCCCCCCTCCTCCCGGTCACCTCTCAGACCTGCGTCGCCCCCCCTTGAATGCTTTGCTAAAGCTGGTAAAATGGAACCAAATCAACTGTTCAATGGATTTGGTCCCCTTCAACCAGCTGTAGCTGTGCATTGATCACTCCGAACAACAACAAAAAAAGCTGCAGGAAGAGCAGAGAACGAGAGGTCATCGACATCGAGGGAGGCTGCAACAGATCCTGCAGAGACTCTGACTGTGGATGAATACACAGCATGTGATAGATATTGGTGCAGTTTTCCCTCGCAGTAGTTGAAATAAGATCAGGTAGGTAAATAAAAGTACGTTTTCACTGTATTCGTAATGACGTAGTGCTGTAAATGCAGTAGTCAACCCTTTTAATTTTTCTCTGGATCTGTTAGCGTGTGTGTGTGTGTGTGTGTGTGTATGTGTCCTCTAATCAATAAAACTGCATCATGAAGTTCATATAAAGTGCTGAAGTGGTCTTTGCTTTGAAGCGCAGTCCTGAGGGAAGCCTCACGAGACAGACAGTCAATCCAGGGGTTGTGTGTGTGTGTGTGTATGTTAATAAGAGTTGACGGAGTGTTGATACAATTCCTAATAAAACTTTTTTTTATCAGTACCGGTGGTCTTGTATTGTCTTCTTCAATATCCTGATCCCCCTCATTTGTTTCACATAAAAAAAAAAAAATCTAAATTTACAGACACTCCCTGATTCTTTGTTTCACCACGTCTGTTTGTTGATGTCTGTCAATCCAATTGTTTTTATCTAAACCTCAGTTTCTTGAATTTTCTTTTAGTCAAGTTCACCACATGGAATAGTTTCACAGTGAAACCAGTTATAAAATAAATCAGTTCAGGTGAATTTTCAGAACGTTCAGATGTTTTAAGTTTGTGTTTATTTATGATGAATTATAGTTTATTTAACTGACACATTTTCATTACATTTTCTACCTCAGGCACAGGATTATAAAATTTTATGCATTTGTTTTAAATAGACCCAATGGGAAATTAAGGCGTGGAAATGGTTTGATCATCCAAAAAGAAAAAAAAAAAAAAAAACCACACACATAAAAATTTAAAAAATGGGATCAAAAGACAGACATTATAAACTTCAGCTGGTGTCAGTGACATCACACACAGATGTTCACATGTATGTGAAAGGCTCCGAAAAGCCTGCGTTTATAGACGATGATCATTAAAGTGTCAGTTTAAAGTACGACCGGGGTTGTTTCAGGAGGAGTTGAGGAACAAAAAAAAAAAACATGTCTGTGTCTCCAGCAAAAACAAAAAGACTGGCCTATTGTTTAAAGGTCACAGACGCACACGACAGACAGATGTGATGGAGGAGCCAGAGTTCTGAAGGTGTAGAGAGGAGGTGAAGATGATGAGGGGATGATTGAGGGCAGGAGGAGGACGACGACGGAGTCCAGGAGCCAAGCTATATATATATATATATATATATATACGTTTGATATTTCTAAGAAGTAGAAATATAGATTTCTCTATTGTCTTTTCAGAAAAAGAACATCTGAGAAGAAGCATGTTGTTACGCTAGTCTATCTACTTATCTATCTAAACCTCATTGTTTAACTGATACACAACACAATATTATATTTCCTTCAATGTTATTCATAGTGTTTTTTTGAATTTTTGAATAATTTTAAATAAATATATATTATTTTCACATTTTTACTTTTGAGAACTTTCTTAAGCTTTTCACAACTTTTAGTCCTTGTTACTTACTTTCAACATATAGGTGTAAAATATTTAAAATGTGTGCCTCATCTGGTTAGTTATTATCAGTGGTAACTAGTTACATTTACTCTGTTACAAATAAAATGCTTCTTGGAGTAGTTTTAAATCACTATACTTTTTACTTTTACTTGAGTAGATTTATGAAGCAGAAACAGTACTCCTACTCCGCTACATTAGGTTATACTGAGCTGGTCACTTTTATCAGAGATACTGGATGAAGCTGTAGCCATCCAGTATCCAGTATCTCTACTTTTATTTTGGCAGAGAGAGACGTCCACCCAAGGTCCACCGTGTGACTGAGCCTGAGGAAATATGTTGTGGTAAGTTTGACCTAAAAATGTATTTTTTATGTTTACTATTATTTCATCAATTTTTATTTTTATTGCAGTGCTTAAATTGACCTAAAGATTATTAATTTGTTTTATTTTATTGATAGGACAAACTCTGTAATTTTGTCTAGTTGATTGAATGCTCAATAAAAAATAAATCAGATGTAACTCAACAGTTACTCAGTACTTGAGTAGTTTTTTCACCCAGTACTTTTTTTGCAAGTATTTATTTGGATGACTACTTTTTACTTCTACTTGAGTAATATCTTTCTGAAGTAACAGTACTTTTACCTAAATACATTTTTGGCTACTCTACCCACCTCTGGTTGTTATTATTATTATTAATAGTAGTAGTAGTAGTAGTAGTAGTAGTAGTATCAGTAGTAGTGCACAAAACTGTCTTTATTTTAATGATTCATTTTAACTTTTTACTTTATTTTCTGATTTGAACATTTTATCTTACAATTTTTTTTTAATCTGTGACTTTTAAAAAATATCTAAGATACTACAACTATGACACGGCTAACTTTGATTATTGTTTTTAAACATTAATATATTATTGACGCAAAATATGTTTTATTTAAAAAAAAAAAAAGACTCCCCAGCTTCTTTAAAACGGAATGAAGGCAGAAACAGAAACAGAAGAGAGAGTGAAGTAGAAAAAAAATCAAACCTTCAACCCAAAAGACATTTTACACTTGACTATTTTTGTAAAGTTTTGGTTTATAGTCAATAATATTTTTATGGCCCAAAATGACAAAACATTTGTCTCAATTGACTTTATAGTTATACAAAATGAAAAACATGTTTTACAGTTTCACAAATATTAATGAAAACCAAAGCAAAGAGTTTGACTTTTATGTACATTCCCCCATGCCTTAAAGACCATTTTGTGAAAACTATGTCTTAATGAAACCAGTCTTGGAGTAAAGAGATTGGTGAGCTTTAAAACAACATTGCACTTTATATTTTTTCTTAAAGCTACTCTGAAGTATTTAAAGTCTGGTTTGAATGTTTTCTTAGCTGTGTGTGCAGTATTATGACAGTAATAGAGATACTTTTTGTGTCATTTCACTTCTTTATGTTTGTGTACTAGAGTTATTTAACTTGGTAACACCTTAATTATAATAATTTAATATGCAATTACTCAGTTTTTATTTTCATTAATTTCATTAATGTGTTTTATCTTGAAAAACTGTCAGTGACGGAGTTTTGGTTTATAACTCGTAACCTTGTTTTACATTGAGCCGTCAAGTGAAGTATAAAAAATATATAAAATTGAAGCTATCACGGTTTCAAGTCTCCCAAAAAAGTGTCTTAACGTCCTTTCACTCACCTCCTTCATCTTCCCTCCCCTCCTCCTCCCCCCTGCACCACCTGCTGTGCATGGCTCCAGAAGGTGTGACAGATGTTTTAATGTGGCCACGATTCCTTATCACTGCTCAACTGAAAGCTCCATTTGCCTCGGTCCGCCATGATGGATGAGGGGCAGAGGCTAAGCGCGGGGAAGACGCTATGCTAACGAATAAGAAAAGCCGAGGAGATGGTGATGGAGGAAGGAGAGTAAGGGGAGATGATGGGGCAGAGGGGGGAAGTGTATCGCACGGTGAAGATGACACACACTTGTGAAAATGTTGGATGCGGCCGTTTTCTGTTTTTCATGTCCTGGGTGTGATGAGCAAGTGAGTAATTACAGGAGGGGAGTGTTAGCAATTACACAGGGATGAAACAGTGTCAGGAGCAGAGAGTGAGAGTGATGCTGCTGCTGCTGCTGATGCTGCTGCTGCTGCTGATGCTACACAGACAGAGAAATCAACAAGAACATACACGTTACAAATAAAGTGGCAAATAAACAAACAAACCGACAGGGATTCTGATTAAACCAGGCTGTGTTTACAACCTGTTAAATCTGTGGGATTATGGAGAGTCAGCAGTCGTACGTCTTGGGGATGTTTCCCAAGACGGAGGAGGGGGGAAAAAGAAAAGTTATTAAAGGGCAGAAGTCACCCATGTGGGCATCAAACCTCCACCTGTGAAGCATGGGACTGGGAGCATCACGCATTAAAATTTCCCTCCAAAATTATTCATCTGACTTATCTACACAATAGTTCCGTGAAGCTACAAAAATGTTGGTAGATTTAGGAGCTGAGGCGGTGGAGCTGACTCCAGTCTGTCCTGGGATGAAGAGAAAAGCTGAGTCGATGAGATAATGATGGAGTTTAAGCCTAGTTTTTAATGTCAGGATGATTGATGATGAGCAGCCGGCTCCTGAACACACACACCTGATCCTGCTCCAATTATGAAACCACACAGAGCAGCTCACAGCCATGTGAGTGGCTTAAACACGAGGTTTTGATGGTGTCACCCGTCTCCACTAAACACACATTTAACATGGTTTATTTCAGTTGTCGTTTTCTTTTTTTTTCTCGAAATGTTAAAGGTTAGCCAATTCAAACGCCAGGTCCTCGATTTATGATGTCGCTTTACGAAAATAACTAGTTGGTAAGCAGAGCGGACGGATATGTGGTGCTATACGCAGAAGACAGCTTTGTTTACAGTCGCTATATGTTGGATTGTGCTACGTTTGCTTTCTTCAATTTGTGTTGGGTTTTTTTTGGGGGGGGGATTTCTCCCTAGATTATGATGTTACTACTGTGTTGGCGTAGGTGAGCGACACAGGTACTTATGTATGACATTACTAAACAAGTATAACATCCAGGTATTGGTTCAGTGAGGATGTGAAAACATTTAACATACGGAGTGTGAAAACAAAATGTTCGTACTTGGATTATTAACCCTGGCAACCAAAGGCTGTTTGGAGTTTCACTATCACAGGAGTGAGGCCCCCAATGAGGGACGACTGAGCCGAGCCCATCACAGCCCATATGATAACTCTGCCCTTTACTGTACATTGATTTATTTATCAACTTGCTGACAACGGAGAGCAAGAAGCAACCAGCCAGGTCTCATAAAACAATGGCAGACATTTTAATATAGAAATTGAAATGGAGGGGAGAGCGGTGTAGAAAGGGAGGGAGGACGCGTGTAAAGTGCAGCGTGAGTGGATGTGTACAAGTCTGAGTGTGTGTGTGTAACGACTCACTCACCTCTGTTAGACATTTGAACGCATTCATTACAAACTGATGAGAAATTCAGAGTAAAAGTCAAGGTTTTTCAATAAATATTAAGTTTTTCATTTTGACCCACGGTGTATTTGAGTTTGACACTCCTGTTTTAGGGTAACGTACTACATAGAGACTTTTCCGTGGCAAGGTAAGGTAAAACTGAACTGATCCATTCATGTCATGTGACCACTGACCAGGAGAGACCAGTGACTCGGTTCTAAATCACAGACATTTCTTTTACCCGAAAAGTGACGGATGTGGGCCACGACTATCCCTAAAGCAGACCACATATAATATGACAAAATTGGCCCTTTAATTAAATGTGGACACTTCTGGAGAAACATGTAGTACTTTGAGTAAGATGTCATCTGGGCCAAAGCAGTTTATATATATATATATATACGCTTTTTGTAGTTGGCTGATTAAAAGGACTGAAATCCCTTAATCCCATTATTGCAAACCGTATACTGCTGGTGTCTCAAACTTCCGGCCCACAGGGCCACTTCCAGTCCGGCTACCTCCAACATCTGGCCCACACTAGATGTCTTAAAATAATACAGTTTTTTAAACAACAATCTGAAGGAAAATAACGTATTTTTGTTGTACCGGTACTTGATTTTGGATGTGCTCCTGATGAGATGATGACGCCAGTATTGGACCTCAGCTCAATTCAGTTTGATAACTGGTATACTGTGTGGGCCAACAAAAATGGTAAATATGTCAAATAAAGATTTTGAGTAGAAGATGTTTCTATCTTGGTTCTTAAAGAGGATACAAGAAAAAGGAAATGGGATTTCCCTGCCAATCAATTACCCTCAACAGTGGAAATGTA